TTTTCTCTGTCTCTCCTCCCTGAAATTCGTATGAGATGGCTAACCTGGTGCAGCAACCCACATGCCCGCAAGTATATTATACACCCACACGTATGTGCTCGCCCATGCCAGCCAGCACGTTCCTAGACATGCATGCGCATGGACCCCCCCTTCGTAAACATGCACACGCACATTCATAAACAGAGAGGGGTGTGCATGCATTCTTCCCACTGGACGTGCACGTGTGGACACGGGCGGTCACACCTCAGTGTTCGCACACCATCCCTTTGCCAAAGCAGGACACATGTACACATATGTACATATGCACCAATGGAGGCAGACAAGTGCTTTTGTGCAAAAGTATACATGCACATACAGTCATCTCCCCAGCTGCTGATGCACAAGCATATGTGTGTAAGCACATATACATGCATATCTGGACCCAACTCTGCTCCGTTACACCAGTCTAAATCCAGAATAACTCTTCTGCGTTCAGTATAGTCTGGATATGCACCACTAAAATGACCAAAATGCAAATCTGGAAGATTTAATCCAGGCCTTGTTTTGCAGGTGATTTAAAAGGGGGCCAGGATTTCACCCCACTTTCCCTAAATTCCAGAAGGACCTTCAAGTAGAGGAACGCTAAGGCAGCCTGGCTCTTGCTCGGCTCTTTCCCAGACACAGTTAAACAAAGCGCCATTCTCTGAGAGTCGCATGGATTTTCCTCCTTACTATAATATCGTTTCTAAGACCTTTTCAGAATTTATTTCTTTAGGGCCCGATCCAAAATTCCCATTGGGCCCAATCCAAAATTCCCACTGGCTTCTGTAGCTTTTGGATCAAGCCATTCTTCTTCTTCAACTCCTGACCTCCTGCAGATCTTATTAAAAACCTCCATTGATATGACCAACATCACCCTGCACAAAACCAGGTTTAAAACCTTCTATTCATTCCTTTATAAAGTTGGCTCTGCTTTTTTTTTTTGTCTAGGTTTATTCACTTTTTTCCCCTTCCCAATGTCATGAGTCCTTTCAAGCAAGCAGGTAAAAAAAGACATGCCTGTGAAAGGAATATTTCTGAAGGAAGCAATAAAATATATGTGAAACCTAGGAAAGGGGGGTGGGGGGTATAAAGAAGAGGTTTTCTCACTCCACAGCACATCCTGCTTAAATGGCTTTGTGATTCTCTAAAACAGAGTAATATGTTTATAAGCCCACTTTGGGAAGCAGATCTGGTCTCTTAAGTCTAATGCAAAACTGGAGAAGAGAACAAAAATGAATGTGAAGTAAAAGCAAGATGCTTTAAAAATAATGATGCTGGATGCTGATTAGGGCTAGGGAAAGACCCTGCTCTTCTGAGAGAGAAGGGCTGAGAGGACAGCGATTGCAATGTATCAGACAACCCTGCATCTGCCGAAGGTGTTTTCTCAGGGACAAGCAGTTTCCCCGCGTGGGGAAAGTCCCTGGCTGGAGCTGCAAAGGCTGGGCTGGGATGGGAGGAAGAGGAGGAGGGTTAGAGAAGTGCTGGGAGTGGGGAGGAAAGAGAAGGGGTCCGGTACGTACAGATTGCCGAGTTCAACAGCCCCCAGCCTCCGCTCGTGTCTCTCTCTCTCCCCCTCTCAAGGCAAAAAGGAAATGCGGTTCTTTTGCAGGATCAGAAATGAACCATCAGGAAGTTGGCAAAATCGCTAACTAAACAAGCAATCAAGGCAATGCAACAAATTCGCAAGGATCGCGCATTTTTCCAGCGGGTGGGGGGGGGGATAAGCAGGCTCTGACCCTCGCAAAGTCCAGCACTTTCCTCCGGCCTGGGCTTGCAAAACCACGTCGAGCTGCAGCTTGCAAACCGGCCCCAGCCCGCGGTGCAGCCTCGGCAGCGCCCGCTCCCAGCCCGCCTGCCCCAGCCGGGGCAGGTTTCTCTTTTGCTGTTAAAACATTAAAAAACCCAAGCGGATAAACTCTTCCCCGCGCGGACAACAGCACGGCAATGGCAGAATGGGAGAGGTGGGTGGTTTGCATTGCGTGGTGGGGGTCACCCCCCCCC